AGCATCTAGCCACATGTTAAGCATGCTGACATGGCAACATTCACACTCGTCTCTCTCTCTGACTCTCTCCCAGAAAACAACGATCAAGCCATTTTGCACTGTGACTTATGTGGGTGATACTCATTTTGTAGTATCACTCCACTGCTGGGTTCGTTGACCGATCAGATTTTGGAAGCACGTGATTTACCCACGAGGTTGTGTCATTAAGGTATGATCCGAATTATTTTTATCCGCTGCGTTAATTTATAATGCTTTATGATTTACAAGCAGGTTCAGGATTGGATGATTTATGTATTTCATTGAATGTTCATGATTCAGATACTTTGTTAGTATGAATAATTCTTTTTAATTACAGATTATATTGAATAGATTGAATGGAATATTTGTCTTCAATTACAGGTTTATTTTGTTAGATGTTGGCCACTAAATTGTGATTTTGCCGACCAAAATGTTGGTAGGTAAAATGATACATTTGGCGACTAAATAATTAGTCGGTAAACTTTTGACAACTAAAGAGTTTGGTCGCAAATAGGTCCATTGCCGACTAAACTTGTAGTCGCGCAAACATTACTTTTGGCGACTAAAATGTTTGGTCGTGGAATGTGACTTTTGACGACTAACATGTTTGGTCGTGGAACGTGACAATTGGCGACTAAAGTGTTTTAGCGACTAAATTGATTAGTTGCAATAATAATATATTTAGCGACTAAAAATTTAGTCAATAAATTCAACTTTTTCCCGACTAACAAAAGTTTTAGCGGTTAATTACTTTTATTGACCCTCAATTAACGACCAAAATGACGATTAAAAAAATTGATCACGAATAATTTTTATCAACTAAAAATAAACTTTTACTGATTAAATTTTTAATCGATAAAAGTACGATTTGTTATAGTGTCTGTCAACCCATTTGATAAATAAGTTGTATTCTTGTTTTCAGTTTTGCTGTGGTGTGAGAAATCTCAATTTTCTTGAATAACGTCAGAATCAATTTCGCTCACCAAGTGCTCGACCAAAGGGCTTGACAGCACATCAACGGTGAAAATGGAGTCAATTGGCAAATGTTGAAAAAGAAAAACGGAGTGGAGCGACGAGATAAAGATTGCTTCGTATTGAAGCACCACTTTTGGCAGCAACACCATCAGAAGCTTGGGGATTTAAATTATCTAAATTATTGTTGTTTATAAAATAATAGGAGATTTAGTTAAAATTTCATCTTAATAAAATTTTAATATATTAATAATAAGCATAAAAAAAATTAAAATATTCAACACATATCACTATTACAAAAATATATTTAGTGAGTAATTTAATATTTTAAATTTTAAAATAATATAACTTTTTTTTTAAATATCAATTTTTAATAAAATTAATATTTTTAAAATCCTCTTATTAAGATCTATCAAATAAGATTCATATTAATTATAAAATTCTAAAAAATATAAAAAATAAAAAAATATCGTCGAAATTGATGTAAATAATAATATTTTCTGATTTATAGTAGCATTTTACTATTATAAAAAATAGAATACATACTAGATGAACCAATTAAAAATACACATATATAACATTTTTAAACTTGTATAAAATAAATTAAAAGTGTTCCTCGTCAAAAAAAATTTGTGAGATATATATATATATATGTGGACAATATTGTCCAAGAAAAAAAATTACTCTGTTTTTGCTCAATTATGTGCCTCTTTTTTAAGGAGATTATGAAACAAAATAAATTAAATTGTTATTTTCATAAATAAGGGTCCAATGAAAAAAATTTAACTAAATTTTATTAAAATAATAATATTATTTGATATTTGAGCAGATTGTGAGCAATGGTCTTTAAGAATTGTGATTTCAACCTGCGTTTTATTATTACTATTTGTTTTAATTCCAAAATTTATTATATTAGTAAGTGATGATTTGGTGATAATTTACTCCTAAACCCAACCATGCTTTGATGCTCAAGCCTATCAACAGCGAAAAAACATACGGATATGGGCAATGGGCCCTCGGTTTTTTATACGAGTAAGATTAGAGACAAACATATTTACATTTATATTTACAATAATGTAGTATAAGAGTTAGATTTATTATTATTAAATATGTAATAAATTAAAAGTTAACGTATGCTCTGTTACATTATTATTATTAAATGTGTAATAAATTAAAATATTATTTTTAATCGACTTTCAGAATTCTGATGACATAAAAAGAAATAGAATAAAACGTATGAGGAGTGGAATAAAAATTAAGCAAAAAGAGATAAAAATAAGGTATATGAGGGGTGGAATGAAAATTAGATTATGAGATAAATTTAACGACATGAAAATGAGGTGAAACGAAATTATGATGGAGAAGATCTGAGAATTTGAATATGTGGGGTTCAAACCGTAAAAATTTACTCAAGCTTTTGTTAGCGGAATGAGACGGAGATAGGCGAAGAGATTAAATTATGATACAAAAATAATATCAAAATTTTAATTATTACAATTAAAATCTAAAAATTTAAATTGGAAAACATGCGATATTTTTTTTAATGTCTCAAACATTTTCCCTTTTATACCCAAGACCCGGATTACATATGACATTCACGTCCCTTGTAGATTTTAGGTGCTCCTTTCAGTTTTCCCGGTACAACCTCAGATTCTCGATCGCTCTACATCCCCTCCCCCCGCCCCCAAAAAATAAAAAAAACCTAGCCAAGCTCTCCAATTCTATCGATTTTTGGAGTGTTTGACGACTGATTGTTCATCTGCGTAACTCGCTGAGGTAAATAACATTTCACTCATCCAGTTTTACTTTTCCATATTGTTGATTTGTGCACAAATTTTGAATGAAGATCTCTCTCGCTCGCTCTTTTTGCATAACATCTCTAGGTATTTCATTACTCTGTTTCCTTTCAGGTTCCATATTCATTGTTTATTTGATTACAACCTAAAATTCCTCTTTTATCGAAAAGAAATTCAAAACATCAATTTGAGTTTAATATTTGGTTTTTCATTAGCTCAAGTTTTTTTTGGATGTACTGTACATTGTGTAATTTGCATAAACAATGCCGGTGAGTTTTAATTTTTTATTTTTTATTTAAATTTTGTGAAATAGAACCGTCTGTGTTGTTTTATATGCAACTCATTATTTATTCAAATAGAAGATGTATATAATAGTGGTTTGTTAAGTAGGCTGTAAAATCTTTGATATCTAAACATTGCATTTATATTTTTTTATATTTTTTTTGGTACAAACAGATGATTATTAACCCCATAGATTTGCAGTCTAGGCATTTAAACTCCAAGAATTTAAAATCCCATCTCAAATCCAAATCTAGGTTCCCAACCACAATTTAAGAGACCATTTGAGAACTACTTGATCTACAATGTCACTTTAAAATTTATGGACTCTGGTACTGATGATTGAGCTGTAGAATTGTAGATTAATTTCTTGAAAGATTTGGAGGAATTATATTAGTATTCGTACATATCTCAAGTAACATGGTTCATCTAACTGGCCTACCAACCAGGTTTTGAAAAGGGATATGATTTGGTAGGCAGATAATCAGATCTTGCCACATGGTGAGAAAGAAGTATATGTCATTCTTGGCTTTGCACCCAAACTAAACGCTGGTCCTGGATCAAAGAGTAACCAATCGCCTTTTGCTTCCAAATCCGTCCTCTGGCTCTTTTTCACCTAATCAATGCTCTCCACTGAGAATTAAATTCCTCACCCTCGCTTTCTCTAAGAAGAAGCTTTGACCTCTTAGTTGGGTCAATTGAATTGATTAGGACTCCAAAAAGTGTTTCAATTCAACTCATTTTCCTTGGGTACTGTTACTGTATATCTAATATATATTGAATTTAATATGGGTACTACTAAAGCACCCTCTGGCTGGCTTTGTATTCAATTGTAATTAATTTTATTTTCCAATATTCTATGTGTTAGAATCTATAGACTATAATACTATTATATACACACCTAAGTTATTAAATATGTATGTATTTTCTTAATGATGAACATTCATACTGATTCATACTGATTCATACTGTCCTTTCATATTTCGTCTCATTGATTTCTATCTTTGAATTTTGAATTCTCACTTTTGTCACAATAAACTTGGTTCATTTTTTTTTTGGTCTCTCTATTTGGTTGATTAATCCAGGTATAGAAGAATATTGGAGACGAATTAAAATAAACTATCGATGGAGTGTGTGGTTCAGGGAATTATAGAGACACCGGTAAACCTCAAAAGTGCTAAGTTGTTGTTAGTTATTCTTCTCTTTTTAATACAAGATATGATCCATGTGGTATATGATGATTTGGCAATTCCATTATATCGAACAGTACTTTATCTCATAATAGTGCAGGCGTCAAAAACTTGGTCAGAAGAGTTCTATAGAGTTTTGCAGAAAAATTATAACATCTCTCTATTAGTTACCCAAGATCTGCATTTACCTTGCCTCAAAAGATACTACAAAAATTCACTGATGCTAGCTGCCTAGGTGTATCATGATATGAATATAAATAAGAGGCTTACATTACCTGGTATGCAGATTGTTCTGGTATGAGGAACGGGACTGAAACGTGCACTTGAAAATGGCACACTGTATACTTTTGGAATGTGATATGATAAGGGTTTAGATTTCGTCAATAGAATATGTTAGGCATTATTGATTGAGGAGTGGTTTTCTTCAACTAGTGATGATGGTTAATGATATATTTTTTTTCCTTGAAGAGATCTGTAAAATTTGAATAAAAATTCCAAAAACATATAGTTTCTTCCATAAACATTTTTTTAAAAATTATTATTTCTAATTTTATAGGTTTGTTCTATTCTTATAAAGAAGCAACATGACTTGCGTGATGGGGAAATATTTTCAGATGCTAAACTTGCTGTCTGGGAATGACTGTACCATGTTTTTCATAGGGTTTTTATGTTTTTAAGTAACTACCGAAAGCGTCCCCAGTTACTTATATGAAGTGAACCTCAAATGCTTTGTATACCCTGAAGGAGGTGTGGATTCAACTCCTACCTACTAATTGGAACATTGGCATGTATATCTTACTTATCAAAAAAATAAAAATAAAACACAAAATCAAATCAAATAAATAAACAATGATGATCTATATCACAATTTTAAGGCATGTATATTAACTAGTAGAAGTATAGCAGCATAGAATAGTTGCATAGTTTTTCAACTTTTTGGAGAAACAACAATGTTTCAATCCTACATCATAGGGTCAACTGTTGTTAAGTTCTACAGTTTGTTGGAAGTGATTGACCACTCAACAACTTTATGGTGGTTGTATGCACACCTTGTATCTGGGAGTATATAAGTTATCCATCGGCATTGGAAGAGAGGGGAAGGGGGGTTTGGGGGAGTGGCATTGAAAATAAACATGATGCCTCCTAAGTTGTAGCCAGGAGCAGTTTACCTAATAAGAAGCTAAAGTAGTAGATAGAAGTTAATCAGCAATTTAATGTATCAAGTTCAATATCTGCATCTGTCTGAATCTCATTAATAAATAATTAAGTTACATATATAATCGATATATTCTATTTGAACTTTGCATTTAGGAATTTGCAAATGTAATTCAAAACTTAGGTTTGCACATGATGTTCTCTTTTTGGTGTAATATTCCACTGCAAAAGTTCTTGCACGTGAGGTCCTTATACACACCTTCATGGGCACTGCAGAAGTTTTTAAAAGTCAACTGCGAGTCAGATTGTTAAGGGGACATAGTTTTCTTTCAATTGGAGATTTTAATTTATCGATCTTAAGCAGCTTTTGTTTTTGGAAAAACTTATAGCACTAGTGATAATTTCGGTACAACTAGTAGTAGACTGACTATTCATTTGGAATTTTAGCCACACAAAAAAAAAACAAAACAAAAATTTATTTTTAAATGTTAGTTTACATCTCAACATATTTGCCCCAAAAACCTTGCACTATGTTAAAATTAGTTGTAAGTATCAAGTCATTTCAAAATACCTATTTTGCCCTGGCTTATCCATCCCATTCCCAGGTGGACCTTCTTTTATATGCACAATTGCTTTTGATGACTTCTAATTTTAAGTGTTTTGCCTATATCAACTGTTCTTTTCCTTATTACTCATTAGTGAAGCCTTTTGGGAAACAGAGAACGTTTAAGGGAGGAGGGTGGTGGGGTGTTGTTTTAACATTAGCTGTTTTTTTCTTGTAGCATGTTGAGGCCCTTGAGATTCTTCTTCAAGGTCTTTGTGGTGTTCATAAAGAACGTTTACGGATCCATGAATTGTGTCTTAAAAGTGCCCCAAATCTTGGTAAGTATTTTTCCCCGCAAAATGTTGGACTGTGGACCAAGGATGAACCATATTCGCTCACTTGTTTAGATATATGTATATCTTGGGCAAGGTGACTTCCGTTGTGCCCCCCTTGATCACCTAATTAGTTTGTTGATGGCTACATTGATTTGTTTGAGGTTTCTCCCTAGTCTGACAATCTTTATAGCATATGCATGTGACATTAGATTTTGAATAGATAAAGGTCACATGCAGAATCATGTACGTAGTATGAGCACCATCTATTCCAAATCTTGTCAGCATTTCCTGGCCTTCTGAGGATATTGCCAACCACCAGTGCGCATATAGTAAAAATAGCAAAACAATTATTTATTTGTTTATTTGATGGTTGTGTAGATAAAAATGAGGTTGATGCTCTTTTCTCAGGGGTTGTAGCTTCAGAGGTTCGGCTCTTATGTGATCTTGAGCAGCCTGAACCTACTTGGTAAATATGGGGCTTCTCTTGTCAATGGCATTACTTTTGGGTGTATGTGGTTGTACTCAAGGAAATTTTAACATGTAGGACTGTTCGACATGTTGGGGGTGCAATGAGAGGTGCCGGTGCTGAACAAATTTCAGTGCTAGTTAGGACCATGGTGGAAAGTAAAGTAAGCAAGAATGTGCTTCGCTTATTTTATGCACTGGGCTACAAGTTAGATTATGAACAGTTAAGAGTAGGATTTGCCTTTCATTTCCAAAGAGGTGCTCAGATAACTGTTACCGTCTCTTCAATTAATAAGATGCTAAAAATGCATGGAACCGATGAGGCAATGCCCGTGACACCAGGAATTCAGCTGGTTGAAGTAACAGCTCCTGCATCATCTGAAAACTACACTGAAGTTGCTGCTTCTGTGTCATCCTTTTGTGAATATCTTGCGCCGTAAGGACTTTATTTAATTTTTATTTTGCTCTCTAATTTTTGTTTTGCATTAAAGTTGCATATAAAATTCCTGCGTGCATAACTGAATCTTGCTACATGTAAATTCAACGGATTGCCACTGTTGATGTACGCATTGCACATGAAGTGCTGTGGACCATATGGTAATATGAATGTTGAAAAGGTTTTGTTGGGTGGCCAATATTTCAATGCAACTTTAGTTTTGGGAAAGGTGAGATCTATCAGCCGCAGAATTGATAGTGAATAGAGATCATCAAATTGCATTGCTATCCTTCACAAGGCCAATTGACACAATTAGTTTAGGAGAATCGATTTTTGGCATTTTATCTCATATTGTAGGGTGGCTGTTTAAAGATTTGAAAGAGTTCTCTGCCCCCTCTGAACTTTTATTTTGCACATCCATACAATTGAGTCCTTCTGTTTCTGGAATTGTGTAAAAATAAGTACTAAACCTCTGAAACATAATTTATAGTGACTAATAAACCTAGCTGTTAACATTTCTCAGGCTGCTCCATTTGTCAAAACCGGGTGTTTCAACTGGGGTTGTTCCTACTGCTGCTGCTGCCGCTGCATCTCTTATGTCAGAGGGTGGAGGTACAACCTTGTAGGATTGTAAAAGTAGAAAATATCATTTGTTTTTCTATTGGTGATGACAAAATTATTGATTTTAGTGATTAGGCCTAAAATCTGTTTTTTATTGTGCTCTCGACTGCTTCCAATTAGCTAGTTTTGTGACTTGTATGAACCACATGTTGCTGCACGCGAGACTCTAGGTTTTTTTTAGAAGGGATGGGCTTCTATCAAGACCACTAAGTCTGGAGTTGCTGTTGGGCCTTGTGAGGCCCACCATGGAACTATTCATTGACTATGCATGCATGTAAATATGCTATCAGAAGTGTTTGATGTGATTATGCTAATTTCATCACTTCCACAGAAGATCATAGGGTTGGCCGTCAGGCCAGTGGGATAGGTCAATCTGAAATGACCAGCCCAGAAATCTTATAAGGCCCATTCTGTGGGCATGCAGGTCAAACTGGGCCAAACTTGGCAAGGCCTAGATTCATTTGCAATGGGGGTGTTTGGTGAGGTTTTTTTGAGTCAGCTTATGGCTTCTGGCTTTTAAAAAGTTATTTTGGACTGTTTGGTTAAACTTATTTCAAACAGCTTCTGATTCTAATAACTTATTTTAATTCAAAAAAACTGATTCTGAGAAGCTGCTCACTTCTTGCTTTTGATTATCAGCTTCTGTTGTGGACATGTTAATTCACGGTTATATTCTTAGATTTTTTTATTTTTTATTTTTTTAAAAATAGAAAAAGATTTAAATGGACTATAAAATATTATTATTATTTTTTATGAAAAATGTAGATAAATAGTGAATAATAAAAAATAAAAATTAATTAAAAAAATTACTTCACGGCTTATTTAACAGACACTATTTAGCAATTTAAATCTATAATCCAACAATTATACCAAATAGATTAACAGCTTCTGATTAAAGTCATAATCTATAATCTGTTAAGTTATAATCTATAATCTGTTTTAACAGTTACACCAAACAGTATCAATATTTTGGGCTTGTGGGCCCATATTTTGGATCCACAATTGGAGCCTGTGCGTGCGCAAATGTCAAGAGTGTGTTGTTTGCAGTTAGCCCGGGAAAGTGCTTGTCACTAGGCCTAGACCAAAGTGTGGGTAGTCAAGTAGCCATGTTTAGCCCACAGAATGGGCGCATTGCACGGCCCATTTTTGCACGTTTTGGGCCTATTAATGGCTTGTAATTTGTTGGGGATTTTCTTTGAATCCAAAATATGTCTCAGTACGCCCAATTTAAATTCATAAATTTTAATTCTTAATGTATCCTAATATGAATTTATTAATATGGTTAAGGGCCTTGTGCGTGCGCAAATGTTGAGTGCATTTGTTGTAGGTGGCCAGCCAACCCTAGAAAGTACTTGCAGCTAGGTAGGGATGTAAGAAAAATCGAAAAAATCGACCAAATCCATTGAACAGGACCAAACTGGTTATATTTGGTCTGTTTTTTAACAAGAATTGGTCTGTGCGATTTTTAAATTTGATTTTTTTCAGTTTTCGGTTCGATATCGGTTTAAGTACCTTATGCACCGATCTAAACCAAAACAGACCGTTTCAACATATATTGTATTTATAATATATATATATATATATAATCTAATTATAATGATATATTAATAAGTATAATAAATTATTAACCTTATCATCTTCATAACCTAAGTTTATAAACTCTCATTATATATAATCTTAATTCTAACTCATTATTCTTGAAACCTTAGTATTTTTGAACTTTTTTTTGTTTTTATTTTTGTGAATTTAAGAATTGAAAAGTATGTATTAAATTGATGGATTGAATATGTTTGAAATGGTAGACAAATAACTAATTTAATATTTTTATATAGATTAATGATTATATTTAAATGTGGCTCAAGTTTGAAAAATCCTAAACTGATGAAACCGCACCAAAGCAAACTATTTCAATTGGTTCGGTTCGTTGCGATTTGATGGGAAAAACAGTCTGTATCAGTGTTCAAAATAATAAAACCGACAGTTTGATGGGAGAAACGGTCTGTATCGGTGTTTAAAATAATAAAATCGACATTATCAGTTCGGTGTAATTTTTTACCTAAATACCCAACCGTATCGAACTGATTACATCCCTACAGCCAGGCCCAGACTAAAGTGTGGGGAGGATTCTATTTGCACCAAAACAATAATTCTAATACGTTTAATTAAAATTTTAATTAGTATTATATTCTAATATAAATTTATTAATAAGGATAATTCATATTAAATCTTAAAATATTTTTTTTTTCATGATACACTCTAATAACTTATACATATTTTTCATATTAAGTGTCATTATTTTTTTTTTGATCAGCAACAAACAAAAAAATTTATTAAGGCACAAGGCCAAGAAAAAAGAGGATAAGGCATCCTCTACAAGGAAGACAGAAAACAAAAACCAAAACTTAACAAAAGAAAATACAAAAAGATGAAACAAACTAAAATTACACAGTACAAACTGACACCCAGTCTGTCGCAATCAAAAAAAGCGGAATCTCTCGGAATATCGAGCTCGCTGAGGCCCAAAAAGACGCCAAATATCTCACCCTATCCCATAAATAGTCTATATCCCGGATAACTCCTCCAAAAATACACGCATTTCTTTCCATCCAAACGACCCAAAAGATTGCAGAGATGACTCCACTCCAAAGCACCTTAGCCCTCTTCGACCTTCCAAAAGTTCGAAAATCAAATAATAGCATTTGAGCACATCCTTTTGGGGCCACCCACACCACATTACCCAAACCAAACACCATATGCCACAACTGCCTAGCCACCGAGCAGTGCAAAAAGAGATGATCCAGAGACTCTCCACTCTTACACCACATAATGCACCATTGAGGATTAAGATATCGCAAGGGTCTCCTCCTTTGCAATGAATCATTTGTCAAAGTGCCCCCATGAACCAAGATCCACATGAACACTTTCACCTTAAGAGGAGCACATGCCTTCCAAATCTTTTTATGAAATAGAAACTGAGGTACATGAAATGAATTAATAATTTTATCAAGAAAAGATTTACAAGTAAAAAAACCCGAAGAATGGATATTCCAAACCAACCTATCCTCCAATAATGGAACCAAAGAAACATTTTCAAGTCTTGACAAAAGATATACCAATTCCGAAACTTCCCTATCATGAAGATTCCGGCGAAAATTAAAATTCCAAGAAAAAGGAGCCACCAAAGAACCCGCCACAGACACAACAGAAACATAATGAGACTGAGAAACGCTATACAATAGTGGATAGATCTCCGCCAAAGACGAGGAACCCACCCAAACATCCTCCCAGAAATTGACCTTTTCCCCATTACCCACCCTCACATAAATGAATTGGGACCAAACGGGATAAATCTGGGAAATGGACTTCCAAGGAGCACGCCCGCTACCTCTCGAGACCACCTAAGAATCCCTACCATTAACCTGAATCCCATATTTACTTTTAATAACCGCATGCCATAATGAATCACACTCAGCGGAAAATCTCCATAACCACTTGCCCAGCAGAGCCGTGTTTCTAGCCACTATATTACCAATGGCCAAACCCCCATTTTCCTTGCATAAGGACACCGTTTCCCACTTCACCAAATGATCCTTCCGTCCTTCATCTTTCCCTTCCCAAAGGAAATCCCTAAATAATTTCTCTATAAATTTTGCTACCTTGACTAGAATCTTAAACACAGACATGAAATAAATTGGAATTCCGCTTAGCACTGTTTTAACCAACGTGTACCTGCCTCCCCGATATTAAGTGTCATTATCTTCTCTAAAATTCAATTATTTTCACTTTATCTTCTTCCTTTCATCAAAACTCTAATCCATTCTATTAAAATTCACCACTATCATCAAGTAAAAAGGAACCCTGGATCTTGCACGAAAGTCTAAGAGTAGTAATTAAGTTTTGGTGTAAAACAATTTTGTCAATCATTCCTTGATCTTTGTGATGAGATTTTTAGAGGAGTAAATTGTGTCAATATCTTAATGTCAAACCCACTTCACAGAACATCAATCTAGAAACTGTGAAACCATTGAAAGTATTAGAATCATCATTAGAAGAAAAAAAACCAAAAAAATCCAATAGAGAGAAAAAAGTTCCCACCTGTAGATAGAGTGCACAGTTTTTTATGGAAAACAAACCTTACTCAACAAAGTTCATAAGATTTAACTGAGATCCATATATGATATATACATATATACATACATGCATATATATATGAGAACGGGATTTGCGCCGAGCTATGATGTCGCAGGTTATGACAGCGGGTCCTGCTAGGACCGGACCGCTTCCGACCGAGTTAAGAAAGAACGGCCTCTCGGCATATTATGTTTGGCCGAGCTACATTGCTAATCGGAATGTGAATGCGTGCATGTGCCCAACAGAGTTGTGACTCAGCTAGATATTCGGATTAGATCCGCAGGGGTGCGTCTGGACCGGGAGGCTAGCACCCTTGACAACCGGCCAGCTCAGATGGACCAACTTCTTATAGTTCGGACATCTCGGTCATGGCGGTGTTCCTTTCCCAAGGGATAGGTCGGTCATAATATCTCGGTTGAGTGTGCCACCTGGACCAATAGTGTGATGAATGGGAAATCCACTCCTGGCACCCGTCAATACTATTTGGCAGTTCCACACATGCTGTTTGGAGGTTTTGGCCGTTACACGCGTAAGGTAGTGAGAGAAGAGCACTGCCACCTGTCTTGGGAAGGACAGCAGACGTAGTGCAAGCACAATCCCTGAGGCTGCATGGCCAGCCTAGAAAAAGGAAAAGTGGGGAACGTTGGAGGTAAGCAATTCACGCAATCTGAACAATTCTTTCTCTCTCAAAAAAGTGCTCTCTTCTTCTTCTTCACGTGGTCTGACTTGATCGTCTGAGGGTCTATCCGGCAACACACCGCCGGGCAGCTCACCATTTCTCTGTTTCCAGGTCAGGCGTCGTTACGTGAAGCTTGAGTTCGAGGAATACGAAAAGTAAAGGATATTTCACTCTCGTACAATTGGCGCCGTCTGTGGGAATAACTTGGATACACAAACCTTGCTCTTTAAGCTTTTTCGACCGTTTCCATGGCTCACAACGATGAAACTCCACTGTCCGTCGTCGATGGCGTCACGCCAGAGTCTGTTCGACGGACAGTGGAGTAGGTAGAAGAGGTTTGGGGAGCCTAGGTAATGGCAAAACAGTGCTTCGTTGCGGTGAACGACAGCCGAGCCGCCAAAGGCTTTGTTCAAATGATAGAGGGCCCGGTGGGAAAGGAAGTCTTGGAAGACGTATGAAGAAAGGCCAAGGAGAAATCGATCGAAGATTTGGTGGAGGTGTGTA